TGACCCCACTGATAAGCGAGCAGCTGCAGAACCACGTAACCTTTCACATCATCCTGACAGAGTCAGGGTCTCCATAGCAAATCCTCAGAAGTAGAAATAAGGACCCTCCATCACACGGTACACTCTGCTTAACCCAACTTAAACGTTCTTACCTGGAGGTGTGTCTTTACGAAGGTGGTCAAGTTAAAGTGAAGTCGGTAGGGAGGGCCCTGCTCCAGTGTGACCAGTGTCCTCATAAGGAGGACAGTCAGGCACAGACACACACAGGGGGCCATGTGATATGGGGACACACAAGGCCATGTGGCCACCACAGGCCAAGGACACCGAGGGCGCTGGCCAACGGCGGCAGCCGGAAGAGACAGAAAGGACCCGCCCGGGGCCTTCAGAGGGAGCTTGGCCCTTGGGCACCCTGCTCTCAGAATGTGAGAGTCCGTCCCTGCTGTCTGAAGCCCCAGTTTGTGGCCCTTTGTCACAAACAGCAGCCCCAGGAACGAATGCAAAGGTTGGGCGTCTTTTCTGCATAAGCAGTGCTTTCCACACCCTCTCCTGATGGTCAGTGGCTTGTTTTCCGATTTTCAGTCCATTATGGACTGATACCTTTTCAAAATACAACAAAAGTGTATTGCCAGGAAAACAAATGTTTTTTTGAAAAATGTAAAGCCATTTCCTTAGTATAAAACCATTCTGTCACGTTGCTATGCACATCCTACACGCCGTTTCGAGTCAGTCATGGCAGGGGCTGCGGGTGGCGGAGGCCCAGCGCCGGGAGGAGCCCAGCTCTGAGGAGCAGGTCTAACGAGGGACAGACAGAAGCACTCGGCTGGATTTGAGACACCCACGTTTGTGCCACTCTTGCAATGGCCGCAGCACGCGGCACCCGTGGCCCGGCTGGAATACCCCATCCGTGGTCTTTCTGAACAGTGTCTTATTGGTCAGCCAGGCAATGCACTTGTGAAAAACTGGGGGATTCTGGGGAGCTGAGGTGTTGGAAAATGGGCCCTGACCTACGTCTGGTGAATGTGTGTGGAAATCTCCCAGCCTGCCAGGCGGGCCCCCCGTTTCCCAGCAGCTGTGTCTCCGTCTGCTCTCAGGGCCGAGGCGGCCAGGAACACGCTATTGGAAAACGCTGACTTCAGACTTGGCCGGGGGCTCTGTAGTGAGGCCCACCTCTCGGCCGGGCTGCTCCTGACTCAGCTCACCGAGAGCCTCCGCTCACAGCCCCGGAAGCAGGAGGGGGCGCCCGGCAGCGGCCAGGGCCCAGCTGTGGGCGTGGGCATGTGCCCTGGCCTCTTCCTCCTGGCCCCACCCCCACCCAGACTCCTGTCCCTGAGCAGGCGGCGTGGGGCCGGCCGCCAGCCTTACACTCCATCTGGCTCCTGCGCTCTCAGACGCCAGGCCGCCCGGCCTGAAAGGTCCCTGCCACTTGCCGTGTCCCACTCTGGAGCTTGCGGGAGGGACGTGGGAGGGACACGCAGGTGAGCAGGTGAGGGCCTAGCTCCGTCAGGCTTTGCCACCTCTCCCTGCCACCCCAAGGCTGACAGTGCCACCCGACTTGGGCCCGCTCCTCCTGGAAACCCCCTGGAATCATGCAAACGTGTGCCTCCGTCCGTCCCTTCCAGCAAGCTCCGTGGGTGCTCCTGAGTCAGCAGATAAACTCGGGCTGCCATGTGGCTACACCAAGGTGGCAGCCAGCGGGCATCCCGCCCCCCCAAATGTGCCCACCATCCCGCAGTCACTGCTCCGCCCACCTGCACCGCATGGCCACCCGTCCAGCAGCGCTCGCGGTAAGGCCTGTGCCCTACACCTCCAGTCACAAGTCCACTGCCGGGGGCCATGGTCCCAAAGCCGCGGCCTCCCTGTCCGCCCCTCCTCCGCCAGCTTGCATCTCAGTCTTTGCAAACCAGCTCCCCGCACAGAGCCTGGCACACCCGTGCCTCTGCTGTTTCACCTACGGGGGCACCTGCGTGCACTCGGCCTGCTCCCACCACACTAAAGACACACCCAAGGCTGTTGGAATACCGACGGGCTGCAGCCCCTGCTGATATCTCAGTCCGTATGAAAAGTTCCCTTTCACGACAGAAACAAGATATTATACATTCAAATTGGAACATCAGTGCTACCGTGAGTCAGACACAGAGGGAGGCCCAGGACACGCGAGGACAGCAGGAAGCCCACGCTCACAGCCAGCGGAAACCAGGCACGTGAGACCTGCCTTCCTTAGCGGCCAGCCCGCGTCCCCCACTCAGCTCGGCGGACACGCGGGCTGTCCTGAGCGCAGCCCTGGCCTGCACACGCTACGTGCTGGTGGCACTGTCCCCTCTCCCTGGCCCGAAAGTGGTGACAACCAAGTGCCTGCAGACATTGCAAATGTCCACCCGGGGGACGGTGATGTCCTTGTTGAAGAGCTAAAGACAGAGCAGGAGCCCCACGTGAGCACCCCCGAAGCGAGCGATTACGTTCTGAGGAGCACAAGAGAATGAAAGGGACCCCTTGTGGCTCACCAACTGGAGCCCTGCTTCTCAGTTGCCGCCTCCAGCCCGCACGCAGCAGGTGCCAGGCCTTCTGGGTTGCAGCGGGTTCTCGTCCCCTCACTTCCGGTGGCCCAGCTCTGTCACATAGGTGAGGAGCAGGAGCCCCAGGAGGGCGGGAGGCGCCCCGAGCGAGCGGAAGCACCGGCTCCCTGAGCTCAGCTCGGCCCTCCCTGCTGCCTCCCGCACACTCACCACCGGCAGCCAACGGCACTCTGGAAGCGGTGGCGCCTCGGCTGGCGTCTCCGGCTCCGTCACCAGGCAGCTGCACCTTGGGCTGCGGACCCTCCTGCACGGCGGTCTATGTCCTACGTGCAGGCAGTTGCTGTGACTTTTCCAGACAGCAAACCACTCCACTGCGAGCCTCCTTATCACTGCCACTTAAATAAATGCCCAGAAAAGCGCCTCAGTCGTGTGGAACGGGGGTTTCCGTGGTTTTGCTCCCGGCCCTCCGTCTGCATACAGCCCTGGCAGAGCCCCCAGACGTCCTCAGCGGGGCCACGTCTTGCCTCTCTCTGTCCCTGTCACCCAGCCCTGTCATCGAATCCTGGCAAGCTCTGCTAATGAACACGGCTGCCTCCTTCTGCCGGCACAGCACGAGTGTTCAGCACACCGGACAGCTGGTTCACAGGGGCCGCCTGCCTCGGAGGGTCCCGGGGACGGGCAGCCCGGGTCCCAGAATCCGCCACTCCCTGGCAGTCAGCTTGGGCACAGTTCCTGAACTGGAGCCCAGGTTCTCTGGGAACGGGGTTTGAGAACACCTACCTCCCAGGGCTGTCCTTAGGAGGCCAGTCAGATGTCGTAGTGTCTGAGAACAGACGGCCTGAGCAGGGTCCCTGCCCCAGAGCCAGACTGCAGGCGGCACTGGGCGTAAAGGGACGCGGGATGGACAGAGCTGTCCCCAGCCCCTCTGGGGCTGTCGCCCTGTGAAGTAGGCCAGGGTGGAGCCTTCGCTTTACAGGTGAGGCAGGTGCTGTGAACCCTCCTCCCGGCCTGGCTCCTCTTTCTAAGCCGGCACCTGGGCGTCAGGTCTTATTAGCAGGAGCAGAAGTGGCGCCCGCACAGGCCCGGAAGGCGAGGGAGGTGCCCATGGCCCGCCTCCAGGGCCCGGGGGTGTTCAGCCCTATGGAGCCCGCAGGGCCTCGTCCCAACAGAAGCCTCCATGCCCAGGAACTCACGGGCCTGCTTTTCAAGGGTTAATTCTTCCCGGACTCTTTGGAGAGAGTCCCAGGGAGCAAAGCCAGAGCCAGGCCTGGCCGCCAGCTGCCTCCTCGCTTTTCCACCGGAATAGACATCACTGTGACAGCCCCTTGCAGGGAGCGCAGCGTGCGTGTGCGTGTGCCTGTGAGTGCGCGTGTACACGTGAGTGCATGTACGCATGAGTGTGCATGTGTGGAGGGGCGGAGGAAGTGAAAGAGCAGTGGTTGCTGAATGGGACCCAGTGTGCCCTAAATTAGCACTGACACGCCAGGTGTGCACGGGCTTCAACGTGCCCGGACACAGTCCAATGAACGTGATGCCACCATTCACTCGTTTTTCTGACGACATTCACTCAAGTCTTTACAAAGGACATAAGTGAAGTGGCTGCAACCTGCACCCACGCTGCTTCCCCCAATAAGCTGCACCTTCGTCTGACAGAATGTTGTCTGCGTCTACGTCTTCTAAGCCCTTTGTTCACAAAAGTCCTGTTTTCTGAAGCATTTCCACTGGCCCAGATTCACCCACACCTGTGGTTTCGACATCCGGACGGGAGCCGTTAGACAGGCGACAGCGACACTGGTGTCCTGGATGATCAAGTCTCTGAGCCACCGGGCAGACGACAGCAAGGAAGCCCGGGCAGGTGGATAAGCAGGGCCCTGGTGCCACGCGTACCGCTGTCACTGTGGCACTGGCTGTCCAGGAGGAGCCCAGGCTCTGCAGAGGACACGGGTGGAGGAAGGGACAGCACAGCCCAAGGGACGCTTCATGTGGCACAGGGCTCTGCGTGACTTCTGACGCAGGCGTGCGCAGTGAATCGCGGCAGCTCGTTAAGCGCAGTGCTTCCTCTGGGGGGTGGCGATGCTCGCTGTCCTCGTCAGCTGGGACGGTTTTGGTTCTTGACTTATTTGTGCCGTAAAAAAATGTGGGACTTGTAAGCAGAGTTTTTTGAGAGGCCGCTGAAGACCAAACACCTTCGACTACCATGATGAAATGAAGCGTATTCAAGCGCCGCGGTCTTACTCGGCCAGCGAAGACACCGACAAGCGGCGCAAACGTTACGGGATCAGTCCACCGTCAGAACCTCTTCACGTCTACATTCAGCTCATTCAACTCAGGGTGTCGCTGGCAAGGACACGGGTCTCTTCCAAGCTCCTCAGCACGCATGTCCCCACCCGCACTGTGGCTGTCTCTGGGAGTCATGATGCGAGTTTGAAAGGACCCTCAGAACAAACTGCCCCTTTGTGTTTATGGGGGAAAAAACACTCGTAATACTGTATGTTTAAATAAAAGGACTTTATTTATGAAATAAGATAGCAGCTAACAGTTTAAGGAAGCTTGGAGAGAATTGCTTTCACATGGGGCTATGTATGCACCTTGGAAAATATTTGGCTAAGTCATAAAATTAGCATTTTTAGTCATCTGTAAAGTGCTAAGAAATTTACTTCTGGTGAATACTTGCATTAGTTGTTTTGTTTTGTTTTTTTAATCACCCAGTAAGAACATTGATACATAAATGCACGTTGAACATATGGGCCTGGTGGGTCCCTCGCACACCCTGACACTCGCAGTTGGTCCTGTGACGGGGGTGTCACCGCGCTTGGCCTGTGCCCCACTGCCAGCAGTGACACAGCCTCACTCACGAGCACCATGACGCACGTTTACACACAGGCAGCGTTTCGGGTCACAGGTGCACGGAACAGCGTGGAAGAACTGACGAGACACTTCCCATGCTCTCCCTGGGGACGAAGACACCCGTGCCTCTAACACGGACATTAACACTGTTTCATAGGCGATGGGGGAGAGTGTTTTGGCATCAATGTGGAGCCTCAGTGTTGACAGGTACTGAGCATTTTGGTTGGAAGCAAATATCATCTGTGAAATGTTACATATAATATATGGACTGAAACATTGTTAATTTTTAACAGACAAATGCAATATAAAAACACCACTTTGTTAAACTACACATTACGCACATGGTGCCACTCTGGGAGACGCGGCTCATTTGGAAAGCCAGTCCCCCGGCCAGTCCCTGTCACCCGGCTGTCTTCATCGTTACAAATGCCGCTGTTCCCGAGTTCAAGGACGTGCAGCAGAAATACAAGCGCTGCCTCTGAACCAAGCGAAACGGCGTTCACAGCTGTTAGAGCATTCCCACACGGCTATACACACTGCGTGTTCCCGGGAGTCCTTCGTCAGCAAATTCCCTAAGGAGCAGGACACGGGACCAGGGGCGACAGTCCCCTCACTCACCTTCGCCTCCGTCTGCCGCCTTCTCCGGAAATGTCTGTGTCCTGTCATGCAGTGAGCAAGAGAAGGGACCGGCAGGAGTGCCACCATCGCGCCATTGCACATTTCTTCCCCAAAGACTGGTCCCCATCGCCGCAGCCAGGGCGGCTGCGGCATCACACGCCGAGCAGGGGGATCTGCCAGACCATGATGGAGGAGGCCGGCTCCTCGGGCCGCTGCTGCCGGGCCTTCCTGCCCAGGCGCCGGTGGCCCTGGCCCCCCGTCGCCACCAGCACCGAGCTGACTCTCGCCCTCCTGGCTCGCCGACCTCCCCCGGGCGCCACGCTGGGGTGCCGCAGCAGGTCGCACACGGGGCTGTCCTCGGACCTGGGCCCCAGGGACCCGGTGGACGACGAGAGCTCACTGCCGTGTGTCACGGAGCCCAGCGAGCCCCCCAGCCACAGGGCGTCGGGGCCGCGCTGAGCCAGGCAGGGCCTGGCCTCCTCACTGGGGTCCTCGTCCTGCTGGTCTCCGTCCGGGGGCTCCGCGCAGGGGGGCGGGCTGTCCCTGCGCTTCTCCCCGTCTGTCTTGGGGACAGTGGTGGCCACGACCAGGAACTTGACAGGCCCGTTGTGCGCGTGGTAGGAGACCATGCCTCTCCCTGAAAGGCAGAGTGTCAGCGTCACCTACACACGGGACAGTGACAGACGAGCAGCATGGGGTCAACCCCAGCGCGTCTCACGTCCCAGTGACAAAATCCTGTAAATAACCCTAATACCCGAATGATAGGTTAAAATGAAAACAGTATATTCTCCTGGAGTTTTAGTTAATTCTAAGAAAGCTTTCAAAATAATGGTCTAAAATACACTGGGTTTTCAACAACAGTATCTCAGTTCTAGTACCATATGGTACTTTTAGAGTAATAAAGTAATTACCTCCTGCATTCTGCATAAACAGAGCCTTCTCACTTGCTCTAAGGAAACAGAATTTCCCTAAATCTTGATTAAGGAATTAAACACCTGAAATGTGTCAGTTTTAGGAACAAGGTGCCTAAACTCCCAGCCATTTTTCATTACGAAAAGGTTCTGGGGTTTAGAACAAGTTAATTCCACAGTTTTAATTAAAATGGGGACTTTTCGGTTTAAGGGTGACGTGACTCGAATTTTGTAATCATCATCAACCCGAGAGCACTCGTGACAAACTGCCGTGGTCTCCTGTGAAGCACGACAGACCCGAATAGGAAATCCCAATTCTGGGCACATGACCATCTTCAGGCTCGGAGTCCAAATCGCTTTCTGAAAAGGCTGCACCCATTTGAACTCCTACCAACACTGCAGAGAAGCCCAGGGGAGCTTCTCCGGGTCCTGGGCTTCCTTCTTTGCAAAATAAAATATAAAAGTCATCTGTTTTCATTGAGAAAACCTGTGTCTAATCACAGACACTAATCGGTGGCAATAAAGGTGACATGAAAATATGGTTTTCAGGATAAGATTCTCCCTGCACCACTAACAAGAAATGGAAACACGGGAGTAGAGAAATACCACAGAACATTATAATTATGTTATTATACATAATTATACACTATATTATACACTACATATATAGCATATATACTATACACTATAATATATGCTATAATACAAATATTGGTTAGGACATATAATAATCCTGTAATGCTATAGAATAGAAAAACAAAAGGTGATTCAAATTAATAGACAAAGTCTTCAGAGTACACTTAAAACAAACCCCAATAATCTAACTTGCTGAAGCAATTGCTGGCACGATAAAGCAGGACACAGACTGAGGTGCTTAATGAGATCCCGGGGTCACAAAGGCCCAGGACACGCAGGACCACCGGGGTCTACTCACCAGTCACTTTGGGGATGCCCTGCAGACGAGGCACGGGCAGGGCCACCACGACGCCCAGGCTGGTGCCGACCATCAGCAAGCCGTAGCAGACGAGCAGGCTGGTCACGGACAGCCGCTGGTGCCCTGCACAGACAGACAGTGCGTCTGGGCTCTGCTGCGAGCCACGCGAGGCCTGGCCCCAGCATCCCACCTGGAAACATGACAGACCTGGCCCCCGCGTGCTCATGCCCACAGCAAGCCCTCCCAGGCGCAAGGTCACCGGAGTGCTACCCACGTCCTGTGCGTCTGTCAACTGGGAGAGAAAGGCAAGGCCCTGGGAGGTGCATACTGGGACGGCCCCTCAGCACACACCACTGGGACCCCGTCTGCTTTGCCACTCAGAGGGCACCTCCAGAAGCGAATCAGAGGCCCTCGGTCATCTTTGTAACCGTTTACTTCTGGTTGGTGCAGCACACACACATGCACACACATGCACACGCATGCACACATGTGCACACGCATGTGCACGCACATACAGCAGGCTGGCTCTGCACCAGCAGGAGACACCTTTGAGATGAGAGCAAACCCAGCAGGATGGACTCCCAGGCCCCCCCTCAGCAACAGAGTCCTGTGTGAATTTCCAAACATTCTAGATCAACATTGGAAAATGTTGATACTAAAATACCAGAGTCAGAAGGGCCTTTAGAGCTCTTCATTGTTTGTTTTATTTTGTTTTGTTTTACAGCCAAGGCTCTGGGGCCCAGAGAAATGAAACAAACTGCCGTGGGTGGTCACAGGCAGAGACCCTGCCTTGGCGACAAACACCCCGCACGGGGACTTGCACAGGGCCTGCCACTGCGGTCAGCATCACAGCTTTCAGAAGACTTACAGTAACTCCTGGCCGTTCTCTGTTTAGCCCTAAAGCTGATGAGCTGAGAACAACTGAGTTAGAAGAAATGTGACCCCGAACAAGCAACCTGATTCTCCTTTTCCGTAGAAATATTTCCAACGTTTCTGCACTTGACCTGAGTTCATCTTAGACAAAATGCATGGAAAGCAATGCCCATGAGCCAAAGGCAGGTCAGCATGTCTCCAAGAGCCATTGTCACAGATTATTTAGGCAACAGCAAAAAAAAAGAAAAAAGGAAAAAAAAAGAAAACCACGAAAAAACTAAAGCGGAAACAAACAAAAACCAAAGATGAGTTTTCACTTCTGAACAGAGATTTGTATTATTCTGAAAAAGGCACGCCTACTTATGTTCCCAGGAATTCTGAACATCTGCCTGTTTCTGAGGACTTGGGTTTTAGACACATATCGAAACTCTGTCGGTCTGCCACACAGTCCCACAGGTGGCGGAGCCGTCACTCTCACAGCTAAGGGGAAATGCTGCCGCAGCCGCTGCTGGGCGGTCACAGCCACACTTGCTGTGCCTCGGGCAGCACCTCTGGTGCCCCAGGAAACGCAGGCGCGTCTTTCGGGAGCAGCAGCCTCAGTCCAGGCTCAGCGCTCTGGCCATCTGTGAGACAGAACAAACCTCCACGGCGTTTAGGATCAGCCCAGCCACCATCCTCTCCGACCGTCCGGGAGACCTCGGGGGAGGAAGCCGGCGGGGCAGCTGATGGAAGGTGACAGTCCCCCAGCACGCCTGCTGCCCTGGTGAGGTGGCGTCTCCCACTCACAGCTTTCACCTGAGGGATCTACCTCACGACACTGAGGAAAACGGGAACAGCAGGGAAGACTGACCGGTGACGGCAGCCCGAGGACAGAGCCCGCCTTCCTGCAGCGGTTTTCTAAGCCACCGGGGCGGAAGGGCAGTGAAAATCGGGCGGCGCTGTGGCCCCTGGCCCTACATTTAATAAACTTCCTTTCTTAAAATACAAAAGTGTTGGAGACAGCAAAGGCAAGCGGACCGGTGGCCTCTTGCGGACGGCCCTGACCCTGGCCTCGGGCCTTGCGAACGGCACTGCGGGGCTGTCACACTGGTCGTCCACACACATCCCCACTCGGGTCGGCAAGTCCTGCACACAGATAAAAACGATTCACAGGAATCCATTGTTTTTATGATTTGAACTTCCTGAAGTATTGTGGTTTGGGCAATGGAGTTTCATTTAATTTTTCTCCAAAAAATGAATTTCTGAGTTATATTTTCCTTCACAGAGGATTTGCAATTCTTGAAATATTGTGCTGACATAAGAACGTCCAAACCTGTAGAGGCTTTTTATGAGTTTACTTGAGCCTAACTGACGACGTGCCGGGAGCAGGCTCTCAGAGTCGGCGGAGAGTGACGGTTTGGCAGCTTCTAGAGCATCTGAGGATAAGGAGGGCGTGAGCAAGGTGACAGGGGTGGGGGCGCCGGCGGTGGTTCACAGGACGGTCAGGCCATTCCGGGCTCTCGGGGGAGGTCACGCTCATTTCCAGGTGTGGTACCCACAGGCCAGGGACACGGGCTGAAGGTGAAGACAGCCCTTTCGCTAAGATGTTACAGGCCTGGGGCGGGGCTGCCCAGGTAGGGTTTGTAGTCGGATGCCCTGTGAGGTGACTTTCCCTAGAACCCCCTTTTTTTGGTCTACAATTGGCTTGGAGCCATTAAAAAAGCATTTGAAATACTTGGACTCTGCAAAGCACGTGGCTTCAAAGACGACTAAGGAGGAAAGTGGGAACTGCACACACAGCCCATCTGCACGAGTGACACACCCCCTAAAGTATGGGGTACAAGCATTGGCAACTGCTAGTGAAACAGAATGAGGAATTCACCTTCAAGTTACAAAGGATAAAGCTTTACTTTTGCAGGCCGGCCGGGTGGCTCAGTTGGTTAGAGCGCGAGCTCTGAGCAACAGGGTTGCCAGTTCGATTCCCACATGGGATGGTGGGCTGTACCCTCCACAACTAAGATCAAAGGACAACAACTTGACTTGGAGCTGATGGGTCCTGGAAAAAACACACTGTTCCCCAATAAAGTTTAAAAATAAAAAAAACTTTACTTTTTGTTCAGAAATAGAATTTGAAAGCCATCTTTTAGTCCTCACGAATTCTCCCACCTCTCTACGTATAAACAGGATTTGTGGGTTCATCCTGTCCCCAGCTTTTTTACATGTGTTGTTATGTCATAAAATCTGGGACACTTTCTATGTCTTTGCAAAGAAGCTCCTTTCTTCAGAAGTGGGTCTTTCTAAAGAGAAAGCACAAAACAAGCAATTCAAAGGCCAGAAGGAGCCGGGGGCCCGTCTGGGGAGCGCCCTAGGGGGAGGGGGGAACACGCCCGGGTCGCTGGCAAGACCAACGGAAACCACCGCCGGGCCTTTTCCCGTAAGCACCAGCCACAGCTTTTACTTAATCATTAAAGAAGGCGGAAGCAGGGAAAACCCAGATATTCCTTTTTCTTTCTTATTGGTCTGAAAGCATCCAGAAACGAGTGAGATGGTCAGTGCCCGAGAGGGACGGCGTGTCCCGTTTTCTAAGCAGTCTGCATGTGATTCGTCCTCTTTCCTTTTACATGTGAGAATCTCCCTGAAATAATAATTAGGGAAACTGGTAGTTTTCCAACTCAGGAGGGCCAGCTGGAGTGCAGCTGTCGGGTGTCCCAGGACGGCCCATCAGAAGCACCCCGTGCTCGCCCAGGTGGGACGCGGGGTCCCCAGGACAGGCTGCGGGCTGGGGGGCCACCCACTCAAGCCCACGGGCGCTGGGTGGATGTAGAGATGCCGACACCGTGACAGGTGCTCAAGCTGCACAGAGCGCTTAAAATGAGTTGTGAACGTGAAGGGACCGACCACATACTGTTCTGGGAACCCAGCAGCCTTCGCACTGGGACCCAGCTCTGGTCCAGGAGAGCAGCCCGAGGGCCGCGAGGGAGGGGGCTTAGAGAAGCCACGGGGCTCATTCACGGGTTTACAATAAACACACAGCCAGAGGGTGTGACTGAAAGAAGCCACAGGCCTGACAAGTGCTGTCTGAGCGAGAGCGCGACGCCTGGCGTTCCCTCCCTGCCCCCACCGGGCAAGCACAGCAAGGCGGCGGTGGGCCAGGCTGCTGGTTCGTGTGGGCTAACCAGTGGTTCCCCAGCGGCTGGTTAATCCAGGATGGTGCCAGGAGCCCAGGGGACGCGAGCCCATCCCTCAGTTTCGTTCCCTAAGTCAGAAACAATCTTGAGTCTGGTTTAGCTTGCTGAATTCCCCTATGATGTGACCAGCGGTATTTAATAAAGATACATGCTTTTTAAAAACAAATTTTGGCCGTTTTGTTTATCCGCAACACCCCTGGAGGACGATGCGTTTGCTCAGCGGGGCGCTGCGGGCTAATCTAACACGCGGCCTGAGTGCCCCCGTTAACAACCCTGTGCGTGTCCCGGACAGAGCGGGACGCGTCTGCGCCGCACGTCGCTTCCTGGGGCTGCTCACGACCTATGCCACATAAAGCTCCTTTGGCTGCTTTGCTGCCCCTTACAGCTGAGAAGGTTAACTGACTGCTCTGAAAACTGTGTGCTGATGGCAGAGGTGTCCTCAGCAACTGTGGGGCCCTTTAGTTTGATGTGCGTTTAGTAGAAGAGCTTGAGCGTGACAGGTGAGAACGGACTCCCACCGAGAAGGGAGGCCCGGGTCTCGTCCAGCACACACTCCACAGCTGACAGCACGCTGAGGCCGCTCAGGAACCACACAGGCGGTACCGACTTTCACTTACAAAAAAGGCACGAGTTACAGGAGAATAACTTTGTTGTTTTCAAATTTCGTTTTCTGGCTTTGGAAGGCTTCGTCTCTAGAACCTCCTGGAATTTTGTGTTCCAGCGAGAGTGCAAGGGGACAGCTTTATGTGTTGTTGCCACAAGTACAACAAAACCCATCTAGGCGACCTCATGAGTGTAATTCTAGGACGGAGGTTCCATACGCATGTGACGCAGGACAGGCATGGGTCAGGACCACAAGCGTCCAGACAATGACCAGAGAGCCCGATGCCCTCGGGCAATACGCTCACACACAGTATAAATGCACATGAAACACCAAAATGTCAAACAGAGGAAAACACTGGTGCTCATCACCAGGCGACACTCTCCGGCCGCGGGTTCCCCAAGTGTCTCGGCGGTGAGAGCCCATTTCCAGAGAAGCCTCCTCCAGAGCCACTGCAGGCGGCGTGGCAAACGGAATCCTGGCCGAAACCCCTTAAGTCCTAAGTCACCCACCTTCCTCCCGGGCCACGAGGCCACAAGTCCTGGGAGGAGGACGTGAGACGTGGGGGTCTGCGCTTGGGGACACTTCCTCCATGGTGCACCAGCTGGGGCTTTCGCTCTGCTCTGGGCGGCCGGGCATGTGCTGGTGCCACCACGGGCCTCCCAAGAGGGGCCTGGTTATCTGCACAGGAACAGAGGCCTAGGATGGAGGGGACCCGGAGGGACGCAGAGGGCGCGCCAGGGAAATGGGGCACCAGGCACCCGCACACCTGACTGCACAGTGCCCAGGGCGCAGGAGAGCCACACAGACGGAGGGCAGCAGGGGGCGCTCCCTGGGGGTGAAACGTGGTCAAGGAGAGGCGCCCAACTGTTCCACTGTGTGGCTCGGCTGCCAGCAGCAGCGACGAATCCGACACGTGAACGCTGAGTTCTGCTGTAACCAGAACTGGGACCAGCACTTGGGACGGAGGTTCCTGCGTGTTTGCTCACGTGCCCGCCAGGTGGGAGCCCCTGGGCACCCGCGTGTGTCCGCAAGGGCTACCTTCGGGGACATTCCAACAATCCGCTCGGTTCTCTCCTCCAGCAGGAACCCGAGAACACGCACCTAACCTGAACGTCAAGGACCGGCCACCCAAGCATGGCTTTTGAAAGCAGCATGGAGGTGAGGGCCCGCGGCGCCGACCAGAGCACCACCGAGAAGGGTCCCCCGAGATGCCACCTCTGGCTCCCCGTTGACCCCACCTCCCCAGCCCAGTGAGTCTCCTTTGCTGGGTCACCTGTAGGGGGCGCCCCAGAGCCGAGCCCTGCCAGCTTCAAGGCTGGGAAAGGGACTGTGAGGCGCGGTTTTAACTGCTCCCCTGACCAATGCTGTGTCCTGGCCCTGAGGGGGCCCCGCAGCGCCCCGCGCCCCCCGTGGGGTCCTCCAGTCCAGACCTTACCTGGTAGCAGGTGGTGCACAGGGGTGGCTATGTTGATGTCCTGCAGGTGCTGGAGGGTTTCCGTGTGAAACAGGCGAAGCGTGGACCCGGACGTGAAGGCAACCCAGATCCCCACGCCGGCCACGGCCATGTGCGACACCACCATGCCCTCGTCCTGGTGGGCCTCCAGCTGGTTCTGAGGGGTCAAGGAGAAGGTGGGGGTGGGCGTCGAGCTGCGCGGGGAGCCCCTGCAGCCAAGCCAAGCTCAGGGTCGTGCCAGCGTCCTGCCTGGACCTGTCCGGCTGGACCCACAGGCACTCGCCGTGCACTCAGAGATGCAGAGCAGGGGGCTGTCACCCCCAGACCACCAGCCATCAGGCAGCGTGCCTCAGTGTCATTCCCCCACCACGGCAGGCCCAAGAGCTTTCTGGAACCCCACATTACTACCCAGTTACCACAGCTGAAACGGTGGTGACAGGTGGTGGCCAGGCAGGCACAGCCGCTGGCAGGCTGGCAAGATGGGGAGCGTGCCTGGAAGCGCAAAGCGCGGCTGCTGAAGGGCTCCGGGGCAGACGCAGCCCCCGGCCCAGCACCTGAGCACAATGACGGCCAACACCTGCCTGCAGGGGGCACCTGTGGAGGGCGGCCACGCCAACAGGCCAGGTCCCCCGACTCGCCAGCCTCACATCCCGGCTCTGCTAAAGCCCCCGCTGGGTGTCAAGCTTGAAAACTTTTGAATTAGCGACGCCGGGTTGGCACCCCGAGGCCCTGCCTTCTGCTTCCTGAATAATGCGAGGGCGGTGGGTTTTACGAGGAAAATGAAAACGGAACCAGCATCGCTAAGAGAGTCACTTCAGACCGAGTCGGCGGCTGTTAGGGAGGTGGGACCCCGCCCGTCCTGCGCCTGGCCCCCAGAGCTGCCCTGAACTTCCTAACTCAGCTCGCAGCCCAGCTGAGCCGTCGCGTCCTGGAGCAGCCGGGCTGGGCAGACAGACCAGCAGGACTTGACCGCCTCCGCCCAGGCCCCCGCCCACATTTGCATATTCAAACCAGCCTCATTTGCATGGAGGTTTACACTTAGCGGTTGTGCCTCCGGACACCTGTCTTTCCTCCTTCTGAGCGCAGTTTGTTGCCTGACTCTGTCTCCTGGCTTTCATTCTTCATTGCAGCCTAAACCTGTACTTGGCCGAGTCTCAGTCATCAGGGGGCTCATCAGAAGAGTTCGCCCAGCACAACATGTGCACGTCACTGGGACTTTTCCTTCCATCGTGAAAGAGCAGTGGCTTTCCCCGTGGGATCTGTGACTCAGACTCCAAGAAGTGTCACGGGCCCAGGGCAGAGGCCGTGCTGGCACTGGCCCTGTCTGCCCGGGAGCGGGGCCTGTGGGGCAGACGGGCCCAGGCCACTGTCATCATTCACGGCCATCACGGGTCAGGGACGGCTTTGCCCTTCTGCTGGGCTTCCTGGGGGACAGAGGTTTCCGCTCTGTCTGGAAACCACAAGGGCTCCCCTCAGAGGAACCCCACTGCCAGAAGGGCTGCAGCAGGGCCAGGGGCTTCCACGGTGCCTGCCTGGCCAGGGCAGACCCGGGGGACCGACAGCAGGACCGCGGCCGACTGGAAGGATGGGGCGGGCCCACCGCTCGGTCTGCACGACGATCCCTTGAAACCACATCTCTGAGGAGGAAAAAGCTGCCTGCTGCCCAGTGTAGGCACCAGACTTCAGCACGGCTGGTCCTTCCAGCAGCTCAGAATACAGAGGCCACTGCCCCATGGGAAAGAGCCTTGGGCACAGGAGGTGACGGCCACTGAGGTTAAAAAGTGCCACTGCGTGACGGGGAGTCCTGTTACTCAAGAGTAAAGGAGCAAAGCTGCGTCCTCTGCCCGGCTGCGTCACAGTCACCACTGGGACCGGCTCCGAAGGACGCTAGAAAAATAGCTGACACTCCTCAGCCTGGTTTCGCTCAGCAAGTCTGGGGTCAGGTGCAGAATCGGCACTTCTAGAATGTCCCCAGGGGATGCAGCCGCTGGGCCACAGCCACCCTTTCTCTGCTGCGAGGCGAGTCCATGTCTGCATGTGTTCCTGCTGACCCCCTGCCATGAGCCTCCTCTGTGTGCGGCCAAATGCCACGACGACACCAATCCACCTGCTCGCCCGCCTGCTGCGTCCCACAGCGGCTCGCCTCCGTTCCAGAACTGCCTGATTCTGCGTCTCCAAGGCCTGCAGCCTGCTCTGCAGTCCCCCCCTCCCCCCGCCTTGCTCTTCCACCTGGGGAGGCTTCGTTTCCCTGACAGCTCTGGAATGCCCTTCTCGGTTCATCCTCCGGTCTCCAGCCTCACCCCTCCTTAAACTGCTGGCCAAATAACCTCCTGACAATACAGATTTCAAAACATCTGTTCCATATTTAAAATCCTTTAACAGCTCACATCACACGCAAATCTGCTCTAAGGAGAGCCAACTGCATGGGCTCCGGTGGTGATGGGACGTCTCCGGCACTGCCCAGGGGCCCCCTTGAGGGGAGGTGACCCTGAGGGACCTGCTCTGAATCCTTAGCAGGACAGAGTCTGAAGCTGAGTGAGCGGAGATGAACCCCAAGCTCCCTGACGCCTGTCCCCCTCACCTCCTACCTCACTCCCAGACTCACCCTCTATTGCCAAGAGACCCCTGTGCAGTTCCTCGGGGAGCCTGCTCCCCCTGCCAGGGCAGCTGGCGGGTGTGCCACGCGTGCAGGCACCCAGGGCACACACTTGGTTTGCAGCTCTGGGCTGCCGTCTCGACACTCACAGTGACAGTCCAACATGGGGCTTAGCAGGTGACCCAGAGGCACCCCTGGCAGGCTGGGCGCCCTCAGTTTCCACGGCGCCCTCACCTGTCCTGGCACCCCAGCCAGTCTGTGAGTTTTTCTAGCCTGTTCTTTCCAGTGCCTGGTGACTTTCTGCTGGATGACGGATGACACGAATAGTAACTTAGCTCTGAGAAGTTGGGCGTGTCTCCTAATTCCTCAGGGCCGTGGTTTTCTGTTTGAAAACTGTAACTTTGGGCAGTCGGGTCTCCTGCCGCCTTGCAATCATGTGACCTGAGGTCTCTGGGAGGAAGCAGAACACGGACCGGTGCGCGGGCGGGGAGAACCCTGGCCGGGCTGCTGGCTCGGTCCCCTGCCTTCCCGTCCACCTGCTGCACCATCTCCTTTGATATCTACCTAGTTCATCCTTTCTTTCTATCCTCCCTCATTGTCAGGGGTTGGAAAGAGGTCTTTCTTCTTTCTTCCCCCGTCTGCGCCTTCGCTCGGGGCGCTGCGTGTGCAGAGCACCAAGCCTGAGAAACGCCAGGGCTTCACCTTCAGCAGCTCTGGTGACGAAACAAGCTGCCGTGAGGCCAGTGAAGCTGGCTTTTACAGCTGCACCCATGTTTCAACACTCAGTTATTTTGTAAAGAAAGGCATTAAAAAAGCCCGGGGTAGAAAGCCATAAACAGTTGGGAGAGAGAAAAGAAGAGTCCTCCCCACAAACCCAGGCGGTTGCAGCTTTCAATACGTGGCAGTTTCGCATTGCATGTTTTCGGGGAGGCAGGGAGCTTCACTCCTGCCCGTTTGGGCTCGAATAACCCGCCCGGCTGGGTGACGTGCCCGGCGCTGCCTGATTACGAGACAGAGCTGGGGCCGCCCCCACCTGTCATCCTGCCAACTGCCGCACTGGGGTGAAGTCATGGGAAGACATCTACGCCTCTGGGCTGCTTCTTCCAAAAGAACCTGACCTCTTGCATCTGGCTCACCCCAAAACACCCCATTCCTGCAACACAGGGCGCGTTCTGGAACTTTCCTCCCAGCAGCCCTCCCAGCCCAGGTGGAGACTCCGCGGGATTTCCAGTCCTGAAAGCTGTGCCAAGCCCCAGCTGTGGGTTTCATACATAACAGGAGCTACAGAATGAATTTCATTTTCTTCAGAGGCGTGCAGGTTTTTGCTTCTCTCCATATCAATGCATTTACACTCATTCTGGTACTAAAAATGCACAGAAAGGGGACTTTTATTCAGATCCAAATATGTTACTTCTCTCTGAGTGTTCACGATTTACAGCATATAAATTCTTCGGGACACGTGGAAATAATAATTGGATTATAGTAAGGTCATAATTTAATGTTACGTTAGCCTGGCAGCTATAGAAACCATCATTCTAGCTGTTTGGTATAAATTTATGGCAGAATTAATGCATTATTCCTGGAGAAATGTTTTAAGGAAAGATCATGATTACTCCTTCTCTGTGACAAGAAACCCAAACATAGAATAACAAAATGTTATTTCTGGCTCTTATATATTATATTCAAATAACATTTCTTCTAATAATAAAAAACCGCCACTCATGGGGTGCTCTCCGCTGGGCACTTCATATGTCCTTTTACCCACAAACAGCCAGCGAAAGGCGGCTTCTCCCCCACGGAGACGTCTGGTAACTGAGGCTCCGCTCAGCGCTCAGCCAAGCCAGCGGGCTGCCTGGGCTCGGACCCTGCGTCTCACTAGGTAACTAACACGACGCCGAGCATGTGAGCCACCCAGGCACCTTTCACGGCCTCGATGAACGTGCCCAGCACAGCGGCCCTGGGCGATCAGTGCTCCCTGCTCGGCTGAAGGTCTCTTTCTCTAAGGACACATGAAATAAAACTTATCAGGTGGACAGAAGCAGAAACAAAAAGTGACTATAACAATAATTTAAAATGCTTCTGTCCTGCTGTCATTCTTGCCGGCAGTTGCGTTCCATGCCTCCTGCCGAGTGCGCACTGACTGACAGTGTGTGGCTTTAGGAAGCGGGGCTGACAGGACCCTGGGGAGGTCACATCAGAAATGAAACACAGACAGAAAAGGTATTCGTGGCCCACTAGAAATAGCATTCGGCTGGAGTCCGTCCGGGGCCCAGTTCCTGGTCGCACCTCTGCCCCGGTGTGAGGGACCTGGTGACTGTCACAAGGACCTGCTGTGCCGAGCCGCCCTGGGCTGGGACTGAGCCCACCCACATCTGCGTGGACAGATACTCTGACCACGGTCACCCACGCTGGCTCTCCACCATAAAGGAGCTCTCGGCGTTGGAGGCATCCGTTCCACTTTAAGATAACAGCACAAGCCACCAAAATATGCACTGATACGCGTTTCGTGAATGTCTTAAAATGCGTCTGGTGAGATATTAGCAAAGTGGTTGCAAGTCCCGTCCTGGGGACCTGCCCCCCCCCAAGGAGAGTCGGACTCGGACATTCAGGTGTCCACAGGGCTTGGTGTGCCCGAGTGTGCGGGAACTCAGCCTCACAGAGGTAAGGCAGCCCCTCCTCTGAATCAGGCCTGTCCTCCAACCTTTCATGGGGGGCGGGGGAGTTCACAGGGCTATTTACTCATGAGGCTGAAAACTCCTGGTGCTGTTGGAGTTTACTTAGGGGAGACACACCGGAAACGATGCTAATGGACAGACAGCAAATAATGACGTATGTGTGATCTTTTCATAAGAAAGGCAATATGTGACATGGCTAAAACGTTAAAAATGACAATGAAATCTAAACTTCCCTCTCGCCCAGCCCTGCTCCCCTGCTCCCCTGCATAGAAGCGACAACTTCTGTGTATCTTCCCAGGAATTTCCTCACCTTTGCAGGCGCGCACACAGCCCCGTGACACAGCCACAAGCAGCAGCTAACGCGCACGGTGCTGACGGCCGGCCCTCGTGTGCGCACGCTCGCACGCTCGCTGGCCCTGCCTGCTGGCACGTGGCTGCCTGCCTCCCACCACTGCACACGCCTCCTCCTGGGTTGTCACAGAGCACGCATCAGTTCAGCTGGTCCCCCACCGACCTCATCTGGACATTGCCAACGATTTGTCAGACCAGACGACGTCGCAGCGGGCACAGTGTGCCTGTGCGAGCCTATCGGCAGCGGCACTGCCGGGAAAGCGGCGAGACTGCGAATGCCGACGGGAGGGGCAGGGCTGCCTTTCTGACGCTGCCCAGGCAGCCCCACCCCGGCCGGGTCCGCGGCCCGGGCACCACACGCCAGCGCTGGCAGCCTGAACGCTGTCCCTTGTTTTAACAAGCGACGTTTAGCTTGCAGTGAGCCTAGGAAACGTGTGTGTGTCCATGTACAGACACACGCGCACCTCTATTTCTGAGCGTATCATCGGGGTGTACACACACACGTACCTGTGCGTGCACGTTGTCAGCAGATTGCCTATCTATATGTCTTTTTCTGTGAGCTGCCTTTTCATAGCCTCAGAACAGTTTTACAAGCTCGCATTCTTTTTTTAACGTTTAGGAAGAAATCTCTTTTTGAGTAGGAACATTCACTCTTAGTTGCAGATGTACCATGCATTTCCCCAATTTTTAGTTTACAAAAACGTTGATACAAACACACACACATGTTAGATGTGAAAAAGGTTCTAAAACGTTCCCAGATGTATTGCTTTCTGTATTATGGCAACTTCCTGGTACATGGGTCCTCGGGAAACCTCCCCCCCGACCCCCCACTGCCAGGTAACAAGACCGGCCCACACCCTGGGCCAGTTCCCGGTCCTGCTTATATCCTAACATTACATTCATCTGGAATGTTTTGAAGGGGACAGATCTGGGACCGGACAGACATTTTTCCAAATTCTGACCTGTCTCATCATCCTGTATCGAATAATCCACTTATCCCACTGATCTGAAATGCCCCTTCCATCAAATGCACATTTTCCAAACATCCTCAAAGACTCTAGTATGTTCACACTGGACAGTTCTTTTAAAGTTCTGTGCTTGTATGAATTGCTAGGTAAACAAGGAACAATTATTCCCTTGGGTGAGTGGTAGATAATGGTGAGTGGGATTTTCTAGTTAGTCCCATCTTTCTAGTCAAACCTGGAAGGTTTTCTTTTAGCCACAGACATGAGCTGCCACACTGCTGGGTGCTAGAGGCCCTCTGACTTCCAGCCCCGGGGGCCCCTGGGGGCTGGTCCTGGAATGCACCTGCCCGGCACTGGGCAGCTGCTTGCAGCCACCTACCTCCACAGCGTGTGTCTCCACGTGGATGATGAAAACCTGGCCTCCGGAGGCGGCCCACAGCGCATCTTCCGTCATCAGAAGGCTCCTCACCGGCAGCACACCTAACTTCATCACTTTCTGAGGCTCAGAGTCCCAGGATCCATCTTAAAAGGAAACGTTTCTTTTAATGTCATTCAAACTCAGTTATCTGTGCACAAGGACTGGGGAAAAGGTTAATTCTAAATGACAGACAACCAAACATTCGAGTTACCAGGACTCGCACAGGTTCCCCAGGCGCCTAGCCACGGAGCTCGGAGCAGCGGAGGCAGCCGGCGTCCGTTGTCCCCGGCCGCCACTTGGCGCCTGTCCTGGACAGGTTAGCCACCCTAAGCCCCAGCTTCCTTCTCTGCAAATGGGGACAACACTGCCACATGCCTCAAAGGTTGTTGTGAGAATTTAAAATGTCATAATGCAATTTAAAAGCTCAGCGTAGCTGACAAATTGTCTGACAAATTCTATTATTTGCAATAATAATATAAAAAATTGTTTGGTCATCATTAAAAGGATTTTCACCCAAAATAATTGGACTAATGTTTAAATGCCCCCATCCCTGCATTTATTTAAAATATCCCTTGACATATATTGCAGCATGACGAGAAAACACATCTTCACTGAATATGAAAAAAACAATAAAAATTGAGGTAAAAGGCACCCTCTCTTTTGATGAACTTGCTGCATTCCTGAAACACAGGAAATTATAAAACACTCTGGTTTGAAAATGTTTTCAGAGATCTACTGATGAGGTTTATCACACTTACACGAAGTGCAAGTCAATACACAACTTGCATAGCAATAAAATATTACCTAAAGCAGATTTAACACACAGTTTTTAAAGTGGCTGATGTAATTATCCTGTGAATAATTAAACTCAATCTTCAGTTTTCAAACTAACCCTCAATGAAGCCATTGTGCCTAAAACCATAACTAAGTTGTTCAACCATCAATTCCTCAACAAATAAAAACGTCCGGCTCAGGGAGAACAAGGACTTGGCTGCAGAGAGCGCTCTTCCTTCTCTGTTCTGCACGGAAGCCCTGAGCCTCCTGATCTGAAACCTGCTTGTCAGTAACTGTCTCACGCTGTGGTCAGCACACCCTACAAGATGACAGGCGCGTTGTGACGTTTACGACACACGTTTCAGGTGGCATTCGGCTTAACGGAAATGCTTTTTATTGCATTTCTCAGTGTGGAGCTTTAACAAACTGAAGGTGCGACTGTCCCCTGTACAGAGGTTACGGCTCGCTTTGCTGCGGGGACCAAGCCCACAGCGCCGCTGAGGTGTGCTGTGCGGGACGGCCTCACTCTTGTGTGCGTCAGAGACGGCCTCTGCAAGGAAGCGAGCGTGAAGGTCACAGGTCACGGCACAGCGGCCTCCCAGGCAAGGGACAGCTGGCACAAAGTCCTCAGCTGGGAATGGACTTGTGTTTGAACAACAGACAGAAGTCACGTGCCTGTGGCAGGACCAGGAGGGGCAGGTGAGTTGAGGGTGGGCAGGTGCCACACGGAAGACCCTGGGGGCCAGGAACGGGGCTTCAGTCTGTGCACACGGGAGGGACCAGCGCGTTGGTGACAGAGATGGGACGTGACCAGGACCTGTTTTGGAGGAGTGGATGCGAATCTGCTGGTGGATGGAGGTGTGGGTAGGAAGGAGGGGCAGTGCAGCCAGGAATCAAGGGCGTCCAGTGGGCACGAAGGCCCCTGGCCGAGATGGGAGAGGACGCTAAGCAGTTAGCGGGCTCGGCTGTGGCAGCCCGGGACCCAGGCATGAACCCTGCTCTCCCGGAGACGGGGCAGGGAGACAGCGGGGGGCGGGAGGGAGACAGAGGCAGGAGGGACCCCTGCCTGCCAGCAGTGGGGCGCAGATCAAACCCCCCTGAAAGAGTTTCCGTAATTCGTGGGGGGAAAAATCCTCAAAGCAGCTCGTGGAGGCAGAGCCATCCTGGGGAGCACACACTGCAGGCAGGGGCTGGAGGGACAGGACACGGAGCGCCAGGCGGCGCCCACCTACAGCTGACAGCGCGGGAGGACCAGGCGCACAGAACGTCGGCACCTGGGCTGGGTGCCCTTGCGCAGGAGTGGGGACGCCAGCTCCCACCACTGGAACCCATGAGGACTTGTGGTGGGTCTGTAACAAGAGGAATGGAGACGCCAGGGATGCCAGGAAAGGGCTGGGACAGAGGAGCCGCAGGAGGGGGGACAGCAGCCAGTGTCCCGCCTTTTCTAACCAGTGGGCTGGCACAGAGGGTGACCGCCACACACACCGAAGGGGCCTGAAATTCTCTCCATCAGAGGACAGTGAGGTAGGGACACGGTGCAGGGAATGGAACCGGGGCTTGAGGAGGAAAAAGGTGGACACTGTAGGCATTCCTCTGTGGAATTCGGAGGGGCTGGCCGGACGCCGGCCTTCAGAACAACTGCCTGTGTGTTCATTCTATTTTCCCATCGTCCTTTTGGGAGTGAGAAAGTCACATGTGCTCTGGGACAAGGGTGAGACCTGCTAGCATCGAGCAACCCCATTACCTTCTGCTTTTGCGTAGATGGCCACGGCCCCGTCGACGAGCCCCGCGTACAGACTCCGAGGCGTGCAGGCCAAGCTCATGACCGTGGACTTCTCGGGGGTGAAGAAGTGCTGCAGGCGCACTTTCTTGGAGCCTTGACTGCTTTTATAAATGGAAATGCTTTAAAAGAAACACGGGAGCTAATGAACACACTTGCTCACAGTGAACGGGGCGCCCGTCAGCGGGAACGTGTCCCCACCGCGCAGCCCCGCGCGCGCCCCATCCTGGCCTGCGCCCTCCCGCTCCTGGAAACCCACGGCTACATCTAAAGATGCGACCACTTTGATCTCTTTGCTCTGCCTTAAAGGAGGGATTCTGGGTTAAAGACAAATTATTCCTTCTTGTGTATCTTAAATTGCCTATCAGGAAAAACATTTTAACGTTCCTTTAACTCGTGTCGATGTGCTATATGATTATAACACAGGCTGTGGCTCTGTTTATTCCAAAATATAGGGAGGGGTGTACTTTTCAAAGCATGAGTAAGAATGAGCCACGCCCGTGGCAGACACACGGTCGGACCGATGCTTGCCCTGGAGTTTCCTGGAAGAGCTCCCGCGGGCTCGCGCACAGCTACTGACCGGGACAAGTCCCCATAGGCCGGCCTGCATGTCCACCCCAGCACCTCACTGCTGTGCCCGCCACGGAGCAGCGAGGGAGCCTGTCACACAGTGAGAGGACATACCTGCCTTCCTCAGTCCCCACGCAGATGGTGGGGACCAGCGCTCTTCCCACCGTGGTCTCGGGGTCTGCCGCGGGGATATGCACCATGCACAGGATGCGCGATTCCACGTTGAAGCACTCGATGACTTTGGGAGTGGAATTTTGAAATGAAACGATGGCAATTTGACCCATTTGGCTGGTACAACTTCCAATCTGCATCGGGGAGTTAGGGGAGAAGTGAGCGCGTGGGTGTGAACGCAGTAAGCTAAGAGCTAACAAGAAATGGCAGCGACAAAAGTCAAGGCTCTCGTGCGCCACCACGCTGAGCAGGGTCATGACGTTTAAACACTGCTAACAGAGCCCCTTTTCCTTTTCAACATATTCAATTGACTTATTTTTTCTTTTAATTTTACTAAGAACGCAGTTTTGATTTTTAAAAAATTACATGTATGTGCTTTAAAAAAAATCACAGCCCTTGCCCTACTAAGTGGTGCTCGCACACAATTTAAAGTCTCAGAAAATAGATTAATATCAGTTTTAAATAATTTCACACTAAAGTTTAACAGACCTTACCCAAGAAAACAGTACTTCCAAAGGGAAAAAAGCAGTGGGCCTGGCCCCGAGCAGGTCGTTAGCATCCAGCCCACAGCGCAGGGCTGCCCCGTCCTAAGCCGGCACTGCCGCCACTGCCCCGGCCGCCCATTCCTGGGGCCACGTAAGGACACTCAGCAAGTTTCTTTCCGATGGAAACTTAAATCTAATTGCTTTTTAAGTGGGAAAGCGTCAGACCTTGTTCGTAGAAAGAGTTACTAGGAGACAGCACTCCTGACCTCTGACCTTATGAGAGGAAACTGGCCAGTTTAGGGTGGCGTCTCCTCTTCTCAGATTATTTCTCCTTTTGGCCAGTTTTGGAAATGTGGTGACATCTCTCCTTATTCTTACTGTGTTTTTTCCGTGTTACAAATAAGCATCCTGCTTTGACAGCCTCTCAGGGGAAGGGTGCTAAACTGCCAAGTCCCGCTCTGGGGACAGGGAGTGGGGTGTGAGCAGCAGAGGGAAGGAGGCGCCTGCCACAGGTCCCGTTTATGAGAAAAATTTCTCTTAAAATTCAAAAGTCCTGCGGGAGAGAAGCCTACCCCTTCTCTGGTAGATAGGAGCAAGGATCATCTTGTCCCTTTTTCAACACTCAGCCAGCCCCAGTGCCGCCGCAGCAGCCCTGGCCGAGGTGGCAGGCAAGTGACGGAGTTCAGGGCGCTGGGGAGGCCCTCGAGCAGAGCAGTGGGCTGGCCCATCGCGTAAAAGTTGGGGGGTCCCGGGCAGGGGGACCCCAGGGCACCTCAGCACACACCGTGTGGGGAATTCCTCTGGTTTGCAGGAACCAGAAATGTCCACTACAACTGTAGCGTAATTCAAAAGCAATATTTTATTTGGAACAAATTCGCTTTAACAAAGTTTCCAGTGTAAAAAGCCAGCAATGTCTTGGAGGGAAAAAACCATGCAACTGAACCACCCAAACTGAAGAAATATTTAAGTTCTTCTCATATTAGTTAAGTTGGTTATCTCTGGACTGAATTTAATCTGGCAAAGTTTTAGACGAAAAAGAAAAGAGAGAAACATTTTAACTCCCAAGAGTTCTACTTCCCTTCCTAAAGTGACGAGTTCACTTCCACAGCGCACAGCTGTCATTTAGGAAGATAATCCAGGGACACCGGCAACTGACAGCCCTCCGCTGAAGCCCTCAGCTCTGCACTGACGATGGTGATTAGACACACAAGGCGCCTTACCCACAGGAAGCCGGGAGCTGCAGGCGTGGACTCGGGCTGGCCCGCGCTGCTCGGGGATGGTTCAGGGTTGTACGCGGCACACTCGATCTGAAGGGGGAGAAAATCAAACGCCCACATTTAAACTGGAACCTGGAGGTGTCTGGACATTTAACCTCAGAAAGTCCAGGTTACAACTCATCAAAGATTGAAAGAAGAAAAGATTACAGTGTGAGTCTCAGAAATTAGCTTTCGAGAAGCAAACACCTAAGTGAGCCGCTTCAGGCTTTAGTATCTGACCTCCGGACCCCAGCACCGGCTGGAGCAGACGTCACGGAGCGCGTCCCAGGAGGGCCTGCCCCTCCCCTGCCCGCTCTGGGCAGTGACCCCTCAGCTGTGGGAGCCACAGGGAATCCCAGGCTCCAGGTCAGAGTGTCCAGGGACTAGCAGTGAGAACAGACATGCCCGCAGGTCTCTGAAGGCTGCAGCTCTAGACGCACGGCTCGCGGGGAGGACGGGGCGCCGCTTGGAGAGGGGCTGGCTGGGGCACAGCGGGCACCTCACGCCTGGAAGCACCAGGCCTCTGTGACCCACGGTGCAAACTGAACAGAGCCACGCAGGGGACCCCAGCGCCGACAGATGGGACCGCGTGTGCCCTCGCCTCACACACATGCACACGCCTGGGGTGCGTGCCAGGGAGGAGGGGCCTCGGAAACGACAGCGACCTCAGGTGACTTCTAACTAATGGCCCCAGGGCAGCACCGCCCACGGCTGGGCCGGGCGACGCGTCGGGACGCTGCCCCAGCTAACCGCTCCCCAAGCAGGACAAGGAAGGCGCAGCCTTGGACGCCCACCCGCCAGTCACCTTGAATTCCTGCTGCTTGGCCACCGTCACAGGCATGTGCCCCACGAGGAGAGGGTGTCTTTCCTTTTTGATCTGATTCCCGTCGTCCTCCGCGCAGAACCAGCCCATGTGGTTCTCCTCCTCTGGCCACGGTCAAGGAGAAAATGCGAAGGACAGCCGTGAGCTGGCACGTCGCCCACGCCCTGTCCCTGCTGTGAGGCGGGCACCGAGCGCGGCGCTCCTGGGACACGGCACCTTCCTTACAGGACGGCCGCCCAGCGCGGCTCCATCCCAGAACCCAGCCTGCCGCACGGAAGTGACGCCCCAGGTCCCTGTTTGCTCCTGGCTGCACCACGTAAAGGGCTGTGAAACGTCACAGTGTGAACACCTGGGCCTACCCTTTCTCATTTTTTTCCCCCAAAGCAACTGAGATGTTTAGATTCAAATACCAAAGATACAGTTTTTTAACATGGTATACGGCTAGGGGATAAAAAAGTACCACGGAACAAAAAAGTATTTTCCTACCAGAGCAACTTGTCAATCTCAGCCTTGAACATGTAATTCATCAGAGACAAAAGGGGCTTATTTTCAGGTTCAACGTACTCTGCTCCGAGAGTGGGCCATTTCTATTTACTGAGTCACCGATAAACCACTAAATTAATTATTCAGGAAGAAAGGAGCTGGGGTGCTTGACCCGCCCCCCGCCCGACACAGGCCCCTCCACTGATCAGCTTCCACGGCCCACGGCCCGTTTCTGCCTTATTATCAGCGAATGTAATTGTTCGCATCTGAAAGAGAATTCTACACACACACACACACACACACACACACACACACACACACGTGCACACTCACACCGTCCCAGTGTTCTGAGCAACAGATCTGTGTATATACACAGCATAAGTGTACATATCAATACATATCTATCTATCTATCTATCCATCCACCCTTCTATCTATCTCAGTTTGATATATTTAAAGAAAAGACAAGGAACAAGATAATAATCACGCAGTGGACCCATGCCTGACAGAACTTGTTTTTCATGCTGGGCAGGTCAGCCCCACCTGTAATTTAGTTCACAGGCCGGGACAAGGACGCAGAGGCTGAGAAGAACCTTTCCTGCCGTGTGGACCCAGATGGAACCCAGGGCTGGTCTCCTGACTCACGGCTTTCCCTTGTGTTGACGAATCTCAGCTGATTTGAATGTTTTGTTCTAATAAAAGTGAGGGCTTTTTGCCCTACGCTCCCTAAATTATAATATAAACTTCCGGCTAACCCCCGTGCTGGGGTGAACGTCCCCTGTATAAACCCTCTTTCAGGTGAGTCGATGACTCTGCCGTCAAGTGTCCTTCCCAACCACGACGATACCCTCTTAGCTGTGTGTCTCATCATAACGTAGAAAGCTCCAGGGGACTCGGAAATGGACGCTGTGCCCTCATCAAACACGCCCCATTCAGCGTAAAGCAGCCGCTCCTACCGAGAGCCAGCTTGGCCATCTTCAGGCTGTTGATCCAGGACTCCTTGACGGCGGGCGTGAAGGTGCTAAACACAGCTGTGAAGAAAGCCGGCCGCCCAGACCTGCCAGGAAGGACAGATACGGCCGTCATGGCGAAGTAAGCCACACGCATGTCTGTCCCAAGTGGTCACCACAGAGACATGCCCACAACACAGAGCCGTGCTCTCGGCCATGGCCGAGCGGGCTGCATGGCGGCGCCACCGACCTGTCCGGCTTGCCCGGCAGCTGGAGCTGGACCCTGCACCAGCCGGCGGCTCGGATCTCCTCCTCTTTGTTCAGAATAAGCCGCTGCAGACCCGACGTCCAGTCGTGGGCCACTGACTGGCTCAGGTTCTGCGGGGCAAACACACAGCACGTTTGAAAAGTGTCAGGACGGGACTGTCCTGAGGAGGGGAAGAGCGTGGCTGTGACATGAAAATCCCAGGGACACCAGTGACACGCGTATCTGATACGAAAAAGAAACCCTTGGGAGTCAGGCCACATGCGCTTTGCTGAGACGTTTCTACTCAGAACTGACACTTGAGTGAAGGGCGGTTACGCTGAAGGAGCACCCCCTCCCCCGGCCCCCAATGCAGAACAGGAGGAAACACAACAGACCGGTTCTTACAGTGGACGTGAGCTCTCGCTCCGGCACAGCCCGGCGGGCGAAACACTCACATGCAGACAACGACTCAGGAGGGAAAAGGGGTCTGAAACCAAATGGCTTCGACGGTCACCTGGTAGTGTCCCTTCAGGTCTCCGATGAGCTGCGTGATCTGCCCGACCACGTTCAGGTCATGCAGCAGGTTTTGTAAATCTTGGTACAGCTGTCCGGGCCCCATGTAAACTTTGTCTGCAAAATAAGCAAACAGAAGACAAGCAACCTGAGGCCAGGCTCACCCGGTGCTCGAGGGAGAAAACACGAAAATAACTCTAGCTAATTTCGAACTTTCGAATAGTAGGTATTTTCAAACATTTAGCAATTTTTCAAACTTTTCTAACTTTTGGTTTTGAAATAATTTTAGATTTAGAGAAAAGTTGCAAAAACAGCAGAGCTGCCTCTGGGACGCCCCTCCCCCAGGTCCCCATGTTCAACTCTTACAGAACCATCGTCACAGCCAGGACACCACCTCGGGCAACACTGTTGGAACCATCTGCAGACCCTGCTGAAGTTCACCACCTCCCCACCGACGTCGCCTTGGTCTTGGATCTGATCCTGCCCCACATTAGCTGTGGTGTCTCCTTAAGTCTCCCCGGTCTGGGTCAGCTCCTCAGGCATTTTTTTTGTCTTTCACGACCTTGATGTGTTTGAAGGACACTGGTGAGCTATTTTTAAGAATGTCTCACAATTTGGGTTTGACTGATGTTTTGTCACTTCTAGTATTTTTTAAACACTGTTGACGTCATTACTATTGGTAAGAGGCATCTAGAAATGACATTTAATCTGAACCTAATTTCCAACATCAGAATGAGTTTCCCCGTGATCTTTCTTTAGGTTTTTAAGGGTGCGCTGGCTCTGGGCGCCTGAGTGGGCACAGCCCAGCACCAGTCATTCCCAAAGGCGTCCTTCACTCCCACAGCAGGGCTGTGGGCACAAGGGGTGCACGCCTGTCTCCATGTCACTGATGACACTGCCTGAGGTCACACGCTTTCACATGAGGGGGGGTGGAAACTCAGAATGACACTCAAAGTCCACAGTGCAGAGACGCACAGCAGCCTGTCGCCTACGTTGCATATACATGCGTCACCTGAGGTCACCTAGCCAGTAACGAGGGAGCCCGATTTCCGATCCAGGCAGGAGAGGACGCTCGTGGTGCTGATGAGGGAGCAGCCTCCTGGCTGTGTCCCCGCAGGCCCGGGTGCACGACTGGTGGCCTGTGCAGCCAAGTCAGTGCAGTGCCCACGACCCACCACCAGTCCATGCTCACATCATGACTTAGTCAGTAAAAGCAAATATGTTATTGCCAAAATATTTTAAATTATAAACATACTGTGTAAGAAAAATAAAAAATGAACTTGACACACAGAACCCCAGGGACAGCCGGCCGCCCTCAGGGCCAGCTCAAGAGGAACCCAGCCGTGGGTGGCCCTGAGGCTCTGCTGTCACCGTCCTCACATTCTTAAGAAAGTGAAAAGGGACCCTGTGTGTCCTGTAGCTGATCCCGGCCTTCGCTGTGAGGCACAAACCCATTAAAGCAGAAGGTCCATGACTTCCAATGGAAGCACGGTGACCTTCCAGCACTGAGAGCTCGGAGCCCCGTGCATAGCACGCGGACCACCCACGGGGCGCAGCACGCGGACCACCCACGGGGCGCAGCACCCCTTGCAGCTGGAAATAAAGTCTGAATTCCTGAATCCACAGTCATGAGTGCCCAGTGTCACTGTCACAAACAGCGCTGACCAGCATCAAAGTGCTGACGGGCAAGAATACACACAGTGACACGCCAAGGCCTGTCCTTCAGGGACGTCACAGCCAGACGTCACAGCTGCATAGGAGGCTTGGGAAGGCAGCGGGGAGGTCTGCTGGCCGGATGGGGGCCCAGTTCTCTCACTGCCCCCGCCACCCACAGGCACCCTTCTGGGAGCTGCAGAGGCAGGAGAGACCGCCTCCCTCCGGCTGAGAGCAGACACTGGACAGACAGACAAATTACATGCAAGGATGTTCATCTGTCACCATTCTCAGCAGCAAGCTCACTACAGCCGCTTAAAATGTGCAAGTAAACGGAGCAGCCGTGGGAGAGCGCCATGTGGTCACTTTAAATCACCTGCACTCGGCACTGATGACATGAAGACGGTCCCCCCCTCTGTGACGTGAGAACGCCCGACACAGGCGCACACGTGGACGCACGCTGCAGCGAGAAGGAGAAGGACCGGCAGCACCTGCCTCCTTCAACGGCTTTAGTCTGGCCGCAGGGAGCAACAGCTAACTCCCGGGTGCGAGGGTCATTTATAAACAGTGTCGTCCGTACAGAGCAGACCCACCGTCTGCTGACAGGAGCAAGTTCAGGTTCTCGATGAGCGAACTGGGCTCCTTATGCGGAAAGTGCAGGAAAGTCTTGGCTGAGTCAGGGGCGCGCCTGCCAGCGCTCCAGCAAACCAACGCCTATCTGCCTCCGACACCGAGGCCGCACCTCCTGCCAGCCGCCCTCCAGCCCTGCACACACGTGCGGTGCCACCGCTGACTCAGAGCTGCAACTGTGACGCGAAGTGACAAAAGAACAAGAGCTTGCCCTGTGACCTGAGTCCAGTCTGGCTTGTGGAGTTTTATAAAAGCCAGGAATTCTGTGACATGAAAAGAACATATCCACGAAGGTTCAAGAGCACCAATCAGGGACAAAGCCTGTCCCTAGTGTGGGCGGCGTCTGAACCCAGACACAGCACCAACGGGCTCGCCGTGTGGCCTGCACGCGTCTCCATGTGCAGCGCCGGCCTACTGTGTGCAGTAGACACAGCGCATGGCCACACCCACAGACACACCCACGAGCACTCCCACCTGTGCAACGCACAGCCACACGTGCAAAACACACACTTGCACACAGGCACACACGTGCAGGCACACATGCACAGGCATACACATGCAGATACACACATGCACACACGTGCACACACACGTGCGCACACACACCGGATGCACCGTCAGTGCAGTACACAGCTTTCTGGACAGGCTCGTCTATCAAAACGTAAGGAAGTGACTGAGCACACCCGTGCACACACACCTGTGCACACACGGGCACACGCTACCTGGCACACACACCTGTGCACACACGGGCACACGTTACCTGGCACACACAGGCACACACGCAGGCACAGCCGTGCACGCTACCTGACACACCACGTTGGGTGGATCAACTTCGGCCATCGCCCTGACAGGTTGGGCAGCAGGAATGAGACCTGGGGGAGCACAGCCTGAACACTGTCCGAGCTCATACGCGGGGGCAGGTCTCGGACCAGCTACGCACGTCAGCACCATCCACACACGTACGCAGCAGGTGCGTCTCACACAGAAGGTGTGTGCTTCCTTCTTTGGGCAGGACGACCCCACCTTCCTCCTGCTGCATTCCTGAAGAAGACAGTGGCGTCCACAGGATATGCTGCCGAACACCCAGAAATTTACAGCAGCATTTGTCCCCACGGAAACGAGGCGGAAACAAGCCCAGAAAGAACAGGTGCCATCCTGCACGGAGGGCGTCCCCACTGTGTGCGACAGCGCCTCGGCGAAACTCCGGGCAGGGCTGTCCCCACGAGCCCACGGTGACAGCAGACCCCTCCCTGCCTCCTGTCCCACTCTGTCGCTGCGGCCGCCGTCCCAGGGCGCAGGGGCCTCGGGGCCCCGCCACTCTAGCCTCTCGCTCTCACATTGTTAATGCGTGACAGGTTGTTGAAATGCACAAGAGGGAATACGCGGCCACGTTTTTACCAGCTGCCCAGAGCTCGCAGGCGTTAGGGTTCGCTGTATTGGCTGCAGATGTCACTTTTACCAAAAGAAACGGAACGTGAAGGTCCAACAACCTCACCCCCTCCCCCTCCAGCCAAGACACCCGCTGCCGAAACAGGCAGGTACATGCCTGTGCTTCTGTGGTTTTGCTCCATGTGGGTTTGGAGGTGCTTCTCGGGACACGCGTGTCATCTGTTTGCCACACGGCTTCGTCCCGGGGGACTAACAACCGTGCAGAATAAGCCTCAGAGATCCGGAACGGACGGGGCACCGGTCACAGCAGCCCAAGGAAGCACCTTTCTGCTCACGCATGAGCCACCTCCCAGGTCCTGCGGACGCCACCCCAGTCCTCCCAAGCCAGCAGGGAGGCCGGCAGTGCTTCTACTCCACAAAGCCCAGCTGCAGGAACCCCCAAATCAGGGGCCTGTCTGTGGGCAGTCATCTTCTCAGGCCGGCCTTCAAAGCCCCCTAGTTCCAGGAAGAACCACCGGGCAAAGGTCGGCCCGAGCTCGGGGGTCAGCGGCCACCGGAGGCTTCAGTCTGTTGTGCGGGGACTAAGGAGGACGGTTCCCACAGAACTTGGGTCTCTGGCGGGAATCGTGGGCAGCCAAGGCCTGTGTCTGCTCTCAACGTGCACCCGGGAGCTTCGGCGACCCTCAGGGTCCTTGGCACCCCTGGGGAAGGTCGGGACGCGCATGCGTGACAGGAAAGTGGCTTGTGCCCTGCGCCCTGTCCCAGCAGCACTTCTGTGAAGCTCCTCTCAAGTCCTCCCGAGAAAGTGCTCCATGTTCTCAGTCATTAAAGTACTGCTATAGCCTCGGTGCCTCCTGTGTTCTGATAGCCACGCTCGAGTGATGACAGCAAAGCTTCAACAGGAGGGGCCGTGGAGTGACAGTCGGTCCCTGCCCATGGGGACATGGTGGCCGCTACTGTCAGAAGCCGCACAGAGGCTGAGGATTAACCATCACCCCTGGGGGCCTGGACCTGGTCTCGGCACGGAGTGACCCCAGGCACCAGGTGGCAGCCGGCAGCCGAGCCCCAAAGAGCAATAAGCGGCCCCCATGACACGGGCTTCCCAGCACAGTCTGTCCTTCAAAGTGTGGCCGCCGTCTGTCTCCCCCCGCCTTGTACTTCACGAGGGTCGGAGCTGGGTTTGCGTTCAGCTGCTCAGGCCCCTCATTCACGTTCACAGCTACTTAGGAACGGGGAGCCCCCCTCCTCCCGCTTTGGCATCTGTTTTTTTATTCATTCATGGCTCTTTGTTGTCTTTTTTGGTTGTGTTCATGTTTTCAGGCTTAACCTTTACGGGAAGCCCCCACTCCCGCCCTGGTCCCAGAGGCCGCGCTCGGTGCCCCCCCCTCCCGGGCCCGCCCCCCAGAAGGGAAGGAGGCTTGGGCCTCTTCTGGCCACTGCTGGTG